ATATCATTTTATTTTAAATAATATATAATTTCTATTTTAATCATAATAACTTCATTATTATAACATTTTATATTTTATTTACACGATTTACAATGACATGTTCAAAACAGATGAATTTTTACGAACTCACTTTCATAAAGAGCATATTTGATTAGTCAGAATTTCAAATTACGAAAGGTGAATAATAAAAAGAAATGGTGTTGAATATTATCAAAGACAAAAAGTTTACATGCGACTTCTTAGGACGAAATAAACGGTGGTACGGCACACTGTTACAAACTATAAAAAATGATTTTTTTGTGGTATCATTTTTGATTTAGAGAAAAGTTTTGCCGCTCCTCGTTTTTCACTGCTCTGGACAATTTTAAAAAGGTCGTGTCCGTACCTAACATCCGACAAATGAGTCGTTATAGAATTATAATTATTTTCGGGTTCCTTACTTCGAACGAAAAAAATCCTTAATTTCGGGATCCGTTTATCAATATCTCTTTACGTGATCGAATTAGGAATCAGGAGATCCGTGGGAGAACTAACGTTACTGACATTATTCAAAGAATTGCTAGGGACACATAGCGAGAAGAACTGATGGCCGTAGGGGCAGAAGAGTTCTGGAATGGCGACCACGTACCGGACGACGCTCAGTTGGTAAGACCACCAGATGGACCGACGATCTTATAAAGGTTGCGGGAAGCCGCTGGATGCGGGCTGCGCAGGACCGATCGTCTTGGAAATTTATGGGGAGGCCTATGCTCAGCAGTGGGAGTCTTATGGCTGATGATGATGATGATTACTGGTTCTGGTTCTGACCAGAAGAACAAGCGAAAAAAACTTACCAGCTCTTTATCATAAGTAATGACATTTACATAAATCATGTCATTACCAAATTAGTACTTATCATAACAATAAGAACAAAGCGAAGGTTATTAATTCCATGCATTGCGGTCCTTAAAATAATCATCAACTTTATAATAGCCTTTACTCATAAGTATGTTCTATACGTGAATTTTTAATTTATTTATGGTTAGGTCAATTACATTTTGTGGAACTTTATCGAATATAGCAATTCATTTATCCAGAAATGATCCTCTGGTTTTTGAAGTCTGAAGCTTCGAACGGCAAGTTTATTTTTATTTCTTGTGTGTAAGCTCGGAACGGCAAGTCTACTTTTATTTTGTGAATTTCCGATTCTGGAATGTTTTCTTGCGCACATAATATTTTATTAAATTGATGTCAAAATAATCTTATAGTGTGCCGATTGTTTCCAGATTGAAATGGATCCGTTTTATCAAGACAATTTGATTTTTGTCATAATTCCGCAGCTTTTATATAATGATAAGACATCATTTGTTTTTATCTATTTGTTGCACCGCTCTTATAAGTTCTCTGTCTATAACTCCCGGGGTGACTAGTAGAGAATGTCTTATGGCATTTGGTCTCTTTGTTCATTTTTTAATGATGCAATAAGGCACCAAATAAATAAATAACTATGGCCACGTGTACTCTAAACATTTGTACATGTTACCCAAACGTTGGTATTGGATCATCACCAGCCTATAAATTCCTCAATATTGGGGCTCCCATATGGATGGATTCGAATAGGGAGAACGGGCCATGCCCATTGTGGATGGGATTTAACGACTTCAGAAGCCCGGATCAGCGGTTTAACGTGCCTACCGATTCACGGAATAGGTATAAGGGTAGAGCTCCAAGGTCAAATAAATGGACCAAAACAACAGATGTCGTAAACAACAATTAACACAAAATATAGCGTAATCTACTAAGATATTATCTGTTGAAGAATAACGATATAACTGCATGGATACAATAGGGTTGACAACAAATTTTTGTGTTCGTCCATTAGGAGGATTGTTAAAAAATATTATATTTTTTATTTTTACGCCTATATTTTTTTAAACAAAACTACGGGATTCATAGAGTTAAAATGTTAGATGACGTCACGCTTTTGTAGGTTTTCTACAATACTGTGTCGTAGCGAGCCCCCACTCCTCAACTTTAATGCATGTTATCTAAGCTATTTCATGTTAAATTGAAGTATAAAAAATACTTATCTAATATTTTTCTATTATCTGACTGACGGAGTGAATACAATTTATTTTTTTGCCCAGTCGTCATCCCTATATATGGATAACATTCAAAACAACACAATAACAATATTTCGTGTTATCGTGTCTTATTATTTCTGTCACCGTCCTTTACCATCCCCGGTTACCTTGTTAAGTGTGCATGCTGTCGCAGGGACAAGGACGATCACTGGGTTAATAAAAAAAAACTCTGTTTCGTCCGTAAGTTAGTTAAAAAACAAATAGGTACGAATATATATTTTGCTTGAATTAAACAAGAAATGGTTTAGAAAATAGGCATAAAAGTTCAGGGCACGCAACATCATATCTATGCAGAAAATATACACAGGCCTGATGACAAAAATTTTAACTCAATGTATCGCCTTAATTTATTGATTACGCAAAAAAAAGCGTGTTTAATATACTTCAATAATTTTTCAGACGGACATAAGACATAAAAACTTAGTCATCGTCTTGATTCTGATGGAAGACAAAAAGTCACGGCGCAATGTTTCGTTTGACAGTGGATTTTGGAAACGAAATAATACCCTCTTTCTTTCATTGTTCCTGAAAATTAAATTTTGACGTGATCAGCCTAAATAATAAATTTCTTATTGTGTTACGCGGTTAATGTTCGAAAACAAAGAAATTCTATATATCGTATAGAAATACCCATGCTAATTTTAATGAAATTCTTCTATCTTGTGGATCATTATTTTGTTTTACATTATTTTATTTTTGTTCATAAAATTCATAATTTTTTTTCGTATATACATTTTTTGGGCTAAAACAACAATACTATTGTCACTCCTCGCATGTCAAGTATAGTTAATTCAAACCAAATAAGCTAACATGTTTCGTCTGATGAATAAGACTCCTTTAAATTATATCACTAAAGTAGCTTTCTTGATATCTAGATATAATTTAGAATTAAATTAGAATTCGGTTGTTTTCGCACTTTATATTTATATCCCGTACTTCAACCCTTTTAAACTTATTTTTCGCAATGTCCTTTCCTAGGGTCCACTCTATCTGTGTATCAAATTTCATTGAAGTTGGTAAAAATATAACGTACAACATATACAGACACGGACATAGTTACTTACGCATTTATTAGTATGAATTTATTATTTTTCAATCGTTTGAGCAAAGATACACTTTTTTTTCTAAACGCAGATTCATCCTTTTATGGATCCCTAGAATAACTAACGTCAAATATAGGCTTAGCATAATATAAAAAGAAAAATTTTAAAACGTGCTCTAGCATATTTTGAATGTTTTATTGTAATACTTATTTATTACAATAAAACCCGCTGAAGTATTTTATTTTATTTTCATTCAATGTTCAATATTCAAAAAAAATAATTTGAAAACGAAAGCGACTTTGTTTGGTAAAAAAAAAAAAATACTACAAACATTACAAAATCAAAAGCTCGTTTTAAAAATACGGTAATATAGATCTATCTAGATTTAAGTATATTATTTGCATTCCCAATGTAAGAATATTAGTTTAGATTTTCAGAAAAATAATGTTCAATAATGACTACAGTTTAGATAGACAGACAAAAATTGTAAGAACATTATTTTGGTATTGATACCGTGTGTAAATACATATGCGTTTAGTAAAAGCGGTTATTTTAATATTACAAACAGACACCCCAATTTTATTTATTTGTATGGAATAGATAAAAATAAGAGTAGCCTAAGTTACTCTTTATTACATCATCAATCTGTCAGTGAAAATCCCATCAAAATCGATTCAGCCGCTCCAGAGATTACCTGGAACAAACAGACAGACAAAAATCAAAAATAAAATGTTGTTTTGATATAAGTATCTACCGCATATATATCGCACCCAAGTGGTATAATCAGCCGACTGATTGGGCGGGAAGCCCTTTAATGAATAGCGCCATTCAATTACCGGACTGATTTTTGACCAGCCGAGTAGCTGAGCTCAACATTTTACAATACGGCTGAACAAAGGTCAGCAAAATTAATTGGTAGGATTAGAAGTAAAACAAATTAAATATTGTAGAGACTGATTTAAAATAAAATTCAAAAACTTGTAACGATCTGTAATGGATTCAGATACAGGACTGATTAAAAATGTTCCAAAAAACTGCTTATTCGCGACTGGTGGTTAATGGTTCGAATGATCCAATACAGGAAGCTAACGCACATATCAAATACGCAAGTAGAAAGCTAGGCGTACAACTGAATGGCTTCATTCAATTAAATGGTCAGCTGTCCAATTGAACGGCTGTTTTAATCAATTGGCTGCGACATATACATACACTAGCTTTCCGCCAGTGGCTTCCTCCGCGTGGTCCCTAGGGAACTATTTAGATAAAAAGTATCCTATTATCAAAGTCAGCTTATACCCTGTATACCACCATCTGTATACCAAATTCAAATCCAAACAAACAAACTTTCACATTTATAATACTCGTATTAATAGGCTATGCGTTAAGTAAAAAACAATTGTTTTAATACTACAAACAAACAATCCAATTTTATTTATTTGTATTATATATATAATATTGTTAGAACTTATTTGACGATATATATTTGTACAAAACCAGTTGTGTAATTCAAGTAATTTATTTTGGGCGCGCCCTCTTAACGTCGCCAACTGCAATATTATCGATAGAAAGGGTAAAATATTTTCCACTCTATGATGCAAAAGATTGTGCAATCTACTTTCTCGATAAGTTTTATAATAACTAGTATATAATTGCATGGATGCAACTTATACATTAAATTTACATGGGCATTTGTCACTCTTCAATCGTCGTTAGACTATTATTTCAAACTATGTTGTGGATATTGTTTTTCTTGTATGTTTTAATTTAATTTATTATAGAATACTAATGATTGTACTGTTTTTACTAGAAATAAGTTTATAAAATCATAAAAAAAATATTATAATATACGGACTCATATAATTACGTGTACCGCTTTTTTTAACAGGGGATGTGCATACGCTCAGCAGGATGGAGCTGAATTCCGCGAGGTGGACATAAGTCAGGGCCGTGTGCGTGGCTACCGCGCACCAGGGACTGATGTGTACACTTTTTACGGCATTCCCTACGCAACTGCTCCCACTGGGGAAGATAAATTTAAGGTAACTTCTCAAATTCCAATTACTAATCAAATACTTAGTTTGATTTCTTTCCGCTACATTTAAATTGGGTATACGCATAAGATAAAGAAAACAGGACAGTTTGGTAATTTTCTTTAAACACAATATCTCCTATGGATAGTACTTAATACTTCCATAACAATATTCAGTTTGGTTTATTCGATCTCAGAGTACCAGCGACTAACTGGATTTTTTAAGCATTTTTCATTAAGAATATATGTATATTTTCTTTTTTTTTGACACGTAATAGTTATTACAGACCTGATCGCTCTTAACTTATTTATGTATATATTTTATTTATTTTGTATATAAGTAATAGGGTATAGTTTTCCGATTATGCGGTGGAACAAATATCTTTAATTTTATTATTAGTTTTATTGAGAAAAAAAAATCCTTGTGATGGATTTTTGGAATATTTTACAGTATAGCATTGTGAATGTAAAATTGATGAAATATAATAAATAAGATCAAATTTTAATTATTAATGAAAGTTAAAAATATTTGTAAAAATATTTTTTTTCGGTTGTTTGTTGTTATAATACGCTCTGTAGTAGCGAAAAAGTAACAAATGTTATAAGAATTCGTCAGCCCTGTTAGGTCCTAGGTGACTCTGTGGTAGAAGAGTCGCACGAATTGCGAAAAGTTGAATCCCTCTCAAAGTATTATGAATAAAGTGGATTTTAAGCAAATTTTCATTAAGAATAAGCATCCATATTTAATTTATTCTCGAATAATAATTTATTTTCTTAAATTAGCTAGTTAAAGGCTTATTAATGTGAAAGCTTCTCAGTGATCGCTTGTACTCATTACTAGCATTACCTCGTGCAAATCTGCTCGTAATGAGTTAGTTATTACAATAAATAAGTAACATTTTCTGTGCGGGCTACATATTTTTTATAGAAATGATTCCAAATGTCAAGTGCCGACTAAAATCCTAAAATAAAGCGCACAAGACAGAATGAAAGGATTCTTTAAGTATGAGAGTCATTAAAGGGTTTTCTATTCTATTGATGAATCCGAGAGTACGAAACGCTCGTTTAACTATTTGATTATATGCGCTTTAAAAAAACTTATTATCCTCAATTATTCCTTCATCTCTATACTATCCACTCGTACCAAATTCAGGTCGTTAAATCTTATAAGAATATTCAATTATTGAAAGTTTTCTTGAAATTTGGCAGATGACCTGGATGCTATTATATAAGTTACTAGCAAGTGAAATGATAGTCTGACACATAAAAACTACTCGTATTATCGTTATTAGTTTTTTTCATAATTCAACAGTTTGAACCATTTACAGTAAAGTAATTATATTTGGTTATGCGTTAATTAGAACGTCTTCAAGTCCCAAATGGCCAAAAAAGCCGCGAGTGGCTAAAATCGGGTCTTTTGCACTATACGCCTTACTTTTTTTTATAGTTAAGTAGGTTTCTGTAAGTAACTAATAAACGATCCGAAGTCGGCCGCTGCCGCCGATTGTAATGCGATTCGGTGTGAACATTGATATGATTATTTCATTAACTGAGTAACGTTTGTTTGTTTTAAGTTTATTTTAATGCTTACTTAATGAACAATTCAAGGATTTCAAGTTTGACATCTTTGACTTTCAGGCACCTTTATCAGCACCTAATTGGACAGATACATTGGAAGCTGTAGATAAACATATCGCTTGCCAACAGGACGAACTTGTTCTAAAGTATTTTAATGTGACGTTGACGGATGATTGTCTAATAGCTAATGTTTTAATCCCTGAGACTGAAGAGACTAACCTTCCAGTGTTGGTTCTTGTTCATCCGGGAGCCTTCCAAGGAGGATATGGAAACATGTTGCCAGCTATAAACTTAGTAAATAGTAAGAGAATTATAGCAGTCAATTTTAATTTCCGTGTGGGGATTACTGGGTTCTTATGTCTCGGCAATGAGGTCGCCCCGGGCAATGCTGGTATGAAAGATCAAATCGCTCTGCTGCGATGGATAAGAGACAATATCGCTAATTTTGGTGGCAACCCGAACGATGTTACTGTGGGTGGGTGCAGTTCTGGTGGATCGTCGGCTGATGCGTTGATGTTATCAAGACTAAGTGATGGCCTCATTCACAAAGTTTTGCCAGGAAGTGGTAGTAGTATCGGATCTTGGCCTGTTCAATTCGATCCTATACAAAATGCGAAAGACCACGCTTTGAGGCTGAATTTTACTAATGTCGATGATTTTGAGGCTCTTACAGACTTTTATAAAACATTGCCTTATGATATAATGTTACAAGATTCTGAAATTCTTTATCTAAAAGATTCTACATTTTTGTTTACGATCTGTGTAGAAAAGGATATAGGTCAAGAAAGATTTCTTGAGGATGCACCAATTAATATTTTTCTTAATAATCAAAATAAAATATTGCCCATGTTCTTTGGATTTGCGAGCTTAGATGGAGCTTGGCGATATAATATGTTTAATCAATGGAGCGAGCTAATGAATGATGGATTTGAAGATTTTCTTCCAGCTGTTTTAGAATTTAATAATGAAACCCAAAGATTAGAGGTGGCGGAGATATTGAAAGAAATTTATTTTTACAATCAGTCTGTAGGTAACGATACGTTATTGTCATACATTAATTATTTCTCTGACGTGATATTCGTACAAGATGTACTTCAATCGGCAAAATTGCATGTACAATCGGGCAATAAATATGTTTATGTGTATGAGTATTCTTTTAATCGGAGTGATAAACCGGCTGTGCCTGGCAGAGCAGATATTGTAGGTGCCGCACACTGTGCCCAATCAGACGCTGTCTTAGATGAAGGAGATGAGACTGTTTTGCCAGAAGATTATCGAGCAATGAAAGAAATAATGCGAGAATTGTGGCTTAATTTTATTATTTATGGGTAAGTTAACGTTGGTAATTATTAATAGTAATACTTGATATTTTTCTTGGTAATGTACGATTCAACGGAGGTAGCAACTGACTATCTATGATGCACAAATTATGATTTTAACGTAATACCAAGAATACTAAGAAGATGTCCCAAATTCTCTTTTCTATCCTAGTTTTAGCTCATAGACTAGAATACGCTATAATTTGGTATTAAGTAGGCCTACAGTGTTGATTTTTAAATTTACGTTAATCCCAAGTAATATGCAATGAGATGTAGATGGGTATTTAAAATCATGTTATATTTATCCAACATTTTTGTATTCAGAAATCTGTTTGAGTAATTTTGAGCTTTAAAATTTTGTTGAAGTCAAGTGCCGACTACAATGGTTTTTATTGTAATGTGTAGGTTTATATTGGCTTCCTCTTTTTTAAGTCTGTAAAAAACACTAACCTAATATGTCTGTTGTGGGTATTGCAGGAATCCGACTCCGACGAATGGTGACAGCACGCTGCCGACTTGGCCGCCTTTCCAACTGTATACTTTGCCTTACTATTCACTGGGACAAACTATCAACGTCGCCTATGGTATACCTGTTGTATTCCGAACGCTATTATGGGACTGGTTATATAAGAACTTCTCTCGTACGCCTATTGCGCCAAGCGATGCAGATATTGTTTAGCTTACTTTAAATGAAAAAAGGCTTTTAAACTCTCGTGTTTGAATCGTACATTATTCATAATCTATACTTAACTCATTGTTCGTGGTTATTTCGGTTTTTATGGCCCTAATAACGTTTGTATATTTGTATAAATATTTATTCAAAAAATGATGATGTTCTCTTGTAAATAACTAATTGTATAAAAATTCATCCACAGCAAGCATAACATAGTTTGTGGATCACTGTTCTATTCTAATAATATATATTATTATGTTTTTGTTAAAATAAACATTTTTTATTATAATTTCCGTTTTAATTCAAGACCTTTTTCATTGTGCCCGAGGCTATATCCTTCAGACTACATCCATTGTAATAAGACTTGTTGTTTAACCACGTGGACAATTGTAGCAGAACATTATCTAGATAGGTATATAATAAAAATTTTAAACATAAAAAGCTTTTCATTTATCCATTCTTCCATCAATTTCGCTCTTTTGTAACTTTTTACTGTAATATGAATCCGAAAACGACCTCATGTTACCATCTGAAAGACAGTTGTTTTTTTTTTAATAAAATTGGTTCACGTTTTATAAAAAATAATTTTAAATTATCGGGTATTACTTACGGCCAGTGAGCAGGATAAGGATTTTCACCATATCGTACATCTGTTTCTGTTGCTGGTTGGTTAACAATTGGTTCACTTGGATTAGGCGAGGTATTGGTACTAGTGTGAGCTGGAACTTGTGAAATACTTGTAGAAGTTCTCTTTTCCAAGTTGACTGTTTCTTTTAACTATTGGGCTGATGTTGACGTAGATATACCTAAAAAAACATTAGATAGTCAAACAATTTGTGTAACCAAGTGTGGTAACAAATATTTGCACCGGCCGTAATTCGAACCCGAGACCTTCGGTACGTGAGTCAGTGTTACTAACCATTGCGCCTTCCAGAGCACAATCCGTAAATACGAACCCAGGCAGAATACATCAGCGATTTCTGTCACTGATTGACGCCACTTCAGATGTATGATATAAGGTAGTACCTGAATGAACTTACCAGGTCGAAAGAAAGGGTTAATCAGAGAAATTAGTTAGCTTTTTGATTTTTTCTTTTTTCTCCAGTTTCCTTTTTCTGTTTTCAGCATCCAATGGTTTCTTTTACTATCCCCTAATTCAGCCATCTTCAATAAATACAAATTAAAATTAAATTTTGTCTTTCTTTATACTAAATAAAGTAGTAGGTTTGTATCAATTACTAATATTAATCTGTATTTTTGTGATTATAAACAAATAAACAATCATGAATCTCTCATAAACAGATAAGTACATTTATTCATACATCTACATAAATTTGTTCACCAACCTAGGATTCGAATGATAGTCATTTTAATGTACCTAATACTTAAAAAACCAAATTGACTTACCTTGATATTTTTTCTTTTATTTATGACGAAGAGATTCCATTTATTCCATGCCCAGGGATAGTCAAAGGGAGCAATTACTCGCCTATAACAGACGCACAGGTACCGCCCCGCCCCGCCGCACGCCTATTACAAATGAACTTACACTTTATTGACAGAGAGCATTTTGTTTGAAGTGCGGGTGACCGGGCGGCAATATGTCAAAGGTTAAAGACTCTCTTTGGATTAGAGATTCTGCCGCGTGCGTGTTGTATTAAATAAAATTGTTATTTGTGGAGTAATAAGAGTCATTTTAGCTTGCACATTATGAGAGGTATGACAAGCGCCGAAAGTTTAATAAAACTTAAGAGCCATATTACATCGCAACTGTGATTTCTGCGTGATTTTTCTCGGAAACAAAAACAAATTAACAATTTTGACTTGTTGAATAGTGAAGAATAACTCTTGGTATAGAAATTAGTGGCTCAACTTTTTGGAAATTTTGCTCATCTTTTTAATTAAATCCAAAATACCAGAGAAAGTTTTTCATAAAATGCGCAAAGACACTTTTTTGAAGTCCTGGATTGAGCTACTGTTCTTAACAAACGAAATAAAAGAAATAGAATGATATCTCTTATATAGTCGTAAAGTAAACAGTAGCTCGAAATTTTGAAATAGCACTGATTAAATATAGAAAAACAATTATATTACAAACCAAAAAACATCAAAAATTGCTTGAAGTTAACTTTGAATTTCTCTTAGCCACAACAATATTATTTAACAAAATTTATGCCAGATTAATGACTATTTCATGAGGAACAAAGTTATTATAATTTTAAAGCATAAATTTATTATATTATTTCAATAAATACGATAAATGTAAACGCAAAATCACTACAAAATAAGATGCAGCGGCCGTCTGAGCTCAGTACCGCGCGAGCGCTCCTCAACGTAAGATCTGTGTCGCATTTCTTCGCGCCATTTTTCGATCTAGATACGTTCGAGCGAGCGTAAATAGAGCAGTATAGTGGGACTTCCAACTTTGGTCACGAAGTTCGATTTATATGGAATTTATATAGCTTATTGAATTATTTCTAATACACATTTGTTATTTTCAGCATAGGTCGAAAGACCCCTAGGTATATTTGTATAAGAAAGTTAAAATATATATTTATATTATGAAATGCAAATAAAGCAAGGTACTTCTTCTCTCAATACACTTATACTAGTACATAAAATTGGAGTGCATATTTGTAATATTAAAATAACCGCTTTTCACTAAATACATTTGTGTGTATACATGGTACATATACAAAAATAATATATTTTATCTGTCTGTCTGTTAGTTCTAGCTAATCTCTGAAACGGCTTGGCCGATTTTGAAGAGACTTTCACTAGAAGTTGACTTACGTAATGAGGATTAATTTAGACTTATGGCTCGATGCAATTCGACCGATATCAAATTTATCGGAGATCCGCATATGAAACAACTTTTTCTAAATTCAATATATTTTTAATCCCGGACGCAAAAACGACGCGGTGTTATAAGTTTGACATGTCTCTGTGTGTGTGTGGTGTGTTTGTGTCTTTTTGTGGCATCATAGTTCCCGAACGGATGAACCCATTTTGATTTTGTTTAAAAGGTGTGTGTTCTTCACTTTGATGAAAATCGATACAAGATGGCCGCCGCCACAAAATGTCGGATCACATATTTTATCACCATTCCATCAATATGGGTATCAAATAAGAGGGCTTGAGTAGTAGAATACTGAACACTATGACAAATTTCAAATCCAAGATGGCCGCCACCAAAAATGTTGGATTACCTACATATTTTTCATGACTCCCTCAATACGGACATTAAATAAAAGGGCTTGAGTAGTAGAATACTGTTTACTATGACAAAATTTTATATACAAGATGGCCGCCGCCACAAAATGTTGGATTATCTATTTATTTATTTATTTTGTACACACATACAATTTCATATGAACAAATGTAACAGACATTAGTACAAGGGCACTGCTTATTTCAAATTGAAATTTCTACCAGCAGGCCCAAAACAGGAAAAAGAAATACAATAAGGTAGTCAGTGTGTACCTCCTAAATAAATTAATATGGAATAAAAAAAACAAATTCAAATACCGGGAAAGAGAGAAAATAAAAATACATAACGGTTCAAACATTATATAAATAATAATATATATATCTATAATATATAAAGATTAATAATACCTACACTATCCAATATCAACAACAGGAAAGATAATGATCCTTTACTCTTTTTTTGAACACAGAAATAGTGCGACTGTCACGTATATCGGCAGGCAAAGAGTTCCAGAGTCTAGCAGCATGAACAGTGAAGGAATATGAAGCAAAATCTGTTTTGTGTGAAGGAGTTTGAAGACTTAAGGTGGGATCTGCAAAGAGCATCAGGAGAACGGAGAAAGGAGAAACGCTCACGCAGATAGGAAGGATAGACGGGATTATACAGGATGTTGAACAGAAGACAGACAATCCTGACATATCTACGCTGACGAATGGGAAGCCACATGAGCTGCTTACGTAAATGTGACACATGATCATACTTACGAAGACCATAAATAAATCTAATCGCTAGATTTTGAAGTCGTTCAAGTTTGTTTAATAACTCCTCCGTGGCATCCAAGTAACATGCATCTGCATAGTCAAGAAGAGGTATAATTAAGGATTGTGCTAGTAACACTTTAGTTTTAAAAGGTAAAAAGTTTTGAAGGCTTTTAAGTGTGTGAAATGAGAAGAAGGTCCTACGACTAACCTCAGATACATGGGCAGTCCATGATAGATTTGAATCCATTGTAATTCCAAGATTTTTTAGTGTCTGTTAACTCGATCTGAGTCCCATCCAAAAGCAGGGGTGGTAAAGATAATGCAGAAATAGAATTTATATTAAACCTGCTACCTATCACAATGGCCTGAGATTTACTCGGGTTAAGCATGAGGCCAAACGATTTTGCCCAAGTACTAATGCGATCCAAATCGTTATTAATAGCTACCAGTGCCGAGTTACAGTCTTCTATTTTAAAGTGTCGATAAAGCTGCAAGTCGTCTGCATAGAGTTGGAAGATATAACTTTAGTAACCGAGTTAATGAAAATAGAAAATAAGAGAGGTGAGAGAACAGCACCCTGAGGAACACCCGCACCGAGGTCGCACCAATCAGAAGATTTATTACCAAGACGCACACGTTGCGTGCGTCCCCGAAGGTAGGAATCAAACCATGAGAGAACAGAAGGAGAGATATTGCAAGAACGAAGAATAGCGAGAAGAATGTCAAAATCGACAGAATTAAAAGCACTGCTGAAGTCTAGAAGAATTAGAACTGTAAGAGCTTTATTCTCCATAGCCCAACGTATATCATCAGTAATGTTTATTAAAGCTGTTACAGTACTGTGACCAGGGCGGAAACCAGATTGGTACCTATTCAAAAGGGAATAAGAAAAAAGAAAAGTTGATAATTGCTTATGAACAATATGCTCAAGAAGTTTAGAGAGAAGGGGAAGAATAGAAATAGGACGAAAATGAGATGGGACTGAAGGATTAGATACTTTAGGCAGTGGAATAATGTGCGCCATCTTCCAAATT